AGAACAGATCAAACCCAATGGCAAGAATCTCTAACTTCAAGGTAAGGATTGTCTAGTATTGTATTTGTGTTTGAAGCAGCAGTGTTGAGAATGCATCTAGAAGAGGGTGGTGGGTGTCCTGGTTTCGGCTGGGATAGGGTTAAATTTCTTGCTAGTGCTGTGTTTTGGATTTAGTATGAGGGGAATTATTTTCCTGTAATTCCATCATCACTGTGTGTCATAAACCAGGCAATGCAAATTACACTATCTTCAAAGATCACTGAATTTGTGAACCTGACTATTCAGTATGTATACCAACACAGCACTACTTTAAAGAAATATTTGGGGTTTTACTATTATTTATTTTTCACATTGCACTTCTCTGCATGACTAGAGGACCCTATTTTTAAATATTACAAACTATAAGTGCTAAATATGAGGAATTCTGGCAAGCTATGAAGGTTGAACGTAAGTTAATTTTAGTTTACATTGCTAGGATAATGGCAACTTCAGTCAAGCTGCTTTTTCATACCAAAAACCAAGTCTATCCATAAGAAGTAGGTCACCCAGCCACTGGACTGCAATAAGATGCACACATTTCAATATTAAATCAATTAGACAGGAAGAATGGTAAAGAAATAAGATGTAACCATGTACCCACACACACACTGGAAAAAAAACCAACACGCTGATCAAACACTTCCTTCAGTGACAGTCCAAAGGCATCAATTCTACAAACAGGATTACTTTACACACGGTATTTTCTCTTCTTAGATATGTATAGATGTGCTAGCTGTTATTGTGTCAATCTTTAACTTGAACTCTGTTAAAGATATTTCAAGGCAGCAGTTTTCAGTTTAATGTAAAGGGAAAAGCCAAAAACACTTGGCAGACAATAAAAACAAACTTGCTTATTTAAAGGCAATTATAGTGAAATACTCTATAATCACAGAATTGTATGAAATCAAGGAATAAAGGTTAACATCTTCTGGTTAATTCTATTAAAAGCTACATGAATTAAAAGATTTGTGTTACAAGTCTGATGTAAAGTCACTATTTTCATACACGATTAACTTGCAGAACAATTGCAGTGAAAACTCTAAAAATATTAGCAAGACTCTATCCACATAGAAATTATATGAAATCTGAGTTTCTCCATTCCAGAGAAGCATAATATTCTAATAAGAACTATCCTAATCTTCACCCAGCAATAATTTCAAGATGATATTATTATTCTCATTTCCTTGAATAATATCCATACTCCAGGGCCATTTTCCTTCTCATATTCAATATCATGCATGCTTGTATCAAGATTCCTTTCTTCATATCCTGTCACAGTATCAATCACTGCCTCCTGTCCACTCAATCCACTTTTGATTTATCAGCCGCCGTCTTTCTGGACTCCATAACTCGACCCAAACCATTTTAGCAAGACATTGACAAATAGCACCCAGTATCACATCAACCTGTTCCACTTAGTAAACTAAGAAACAGTAACTGTGACATCTCTGCATAAGTATTCCATTCTATTCCCCAGACTGATGTATATTAATGAGGAGATGGTATTTGAAATGCTTCTTCCACATCAGCATCTAATATGATCAAATTAGGAAATGGGATGATTTATTAAATTTCGTAGAGCTGAAATATTTCTTTATATCACTATATGTGTGGTTTCAGAAAGTGAGCTGTTGCTTTCAATTTTTCTACTGAGGATGTGCCTGCATTTCACAGACGAATTATTGTCTTTAAAAAGATTGCAGGAAGGCGAAATGTTATTAAGCAAATGCTCAGTAAAACAAACTAAATAGGTTTTAAAATTCCTAATTTAATGTAAATCTTGGTTGTTTTGCTGAAATTCAGTTTGTGATCTTATTAAGTCATATTTGCATTGTACTATCTTGCTGTAGGACAGCTTTAAATTTATAGCATTACTAGTAAGCCCACTTTTTTGACTCTAAAAAATGCATCTAAAATAAAATAGTTATAATATGCACAAGTTTTCTTACCTTCTAAAATACAGTACAAAAAAAAAGATTTTACGTTACAAACAACACCTACTCAAAATATTTTTAAATATTTTGTCATTATAAAAATCTAACTTTTCAAATTAAAACTTGGTATTTCAGGATCTTACACAGTTGGGGTTCTGTAAATCATACACTTAAAGAAAACACCTATGTTAGAGAAGTTATTAAAAAAAAATTACATTACAGCCACATATACTTTTACCAACATCTTCACTACCTTGAAAAACAAAATAACTTAATTTGATGGGGGACTATGGGGAGAAAAAACATTATGGGATACTGAATTTGTGCCATCTGCATGACTTATACCAAAACCAAATCCAGAGATTTAAAGATACCACGTAAAGGATCTCAACTTCCAGTATGAAACTAGTTTTCTAGTGTCAGTCCCACTCCCACTGGCGGGGCCAGGGGGAATCACAGTTGCTCAAATCCCAAAGGTGGTACTCTGAAGGTACAACAGTAACGTTGCAAATCAAGTGGCATAGAGGTGATCTTCACTTTATTGCTGTATCTCATATAGCTGCTTTTCAGGTAGGTCAGTAGATTTTACTCCCTGCCACTGGCAATTCAGAAGTTGGAGATCAACAAGAATACTTTAGTGGGTAACACACTCTTTACTACAAGGTGGCTGCCTGAGTTACTTCTGATCATTTTATTAGCTAGTTTACATAAGTGTTTTCTTCAGTACTTACCTTTAAAAGTCATATGAAAACAAGTTGCCCCACCCCAACCAAAAAAAATTCATGAATTACAGATGCCAAATTCTTATGAAAATTCCACTTAGCGCTACAAATACACACATTTCCTAAGACAAATATTGTCTCTTTGCATTTAACAGCTTTGAATGGATTTTTCTTGTCTGGCTGCTTTTTTAATTAATTTCAACTTCTGGTATCCACAACCTCTAACAGCAAGGGCTTCCACAGCTTAATTATGCAATATGTAAGAACCATCTCCTTTTGTTTGACTAGGATCTGCCACCAGCTGACTTCATTCACATGATGCCTGCCCCAGGTCTTACATTGGAGGAGATAGGAAATCCTCATTCCTTAATCATCTTTTCATGCCATTCATTTTTAGATTTTTTTTTTTTTATACCCCTCCATCATATTCCCTCTTTTCTCCACAATCTCTTTTCCAGCCTGAAGAATCATAATGTACTCAGTCCTCTTAGGAAAGCTGTTCATACCTTCCATCAAGTGCACAAGACAGATTTTGAGACAGCAAAGAAAGGAACTATTTAGCATGGCTGTGACTGCCTCAACGCTAACAAACAGGGAAAACACAGGTCTCTAGTAGCAGCTTTCTGCAACCTATTTAACTCTTCTCCAGAAATAAGATTAATCCATGGCTTTTCAGTGTAACATTACAGCAGAGAGCAGACTTGGAAAAAATTACAATAAAGGATTCAATGTGTTCTGTTGATTTTACTGTTATGCTTTAACATTTGTTTTATGCTTTTAACATGCCAAAAGACTCTTCTGTTATAATTTAGGATGTTATTTATAAATATTTTCCCTGAAGAACCATGTCTGTGAATCGTAATATAATTTAAAGTGACCTGGAGCTATACCTTCATAGCTACAGTACTGAAAAGCTAGTATATTTTATATACAATATTCCCTAGCACAAAATGAAATAAACAGTAGTCATGTTTTTAAAGTTTTTAGGTGCATAATTTCCATATATTCCAATGACAATTAACTTCAGTAAACCCCTTGGAAAAGATGACCATTAGACTATGTCTAATGAGATCTGCAATTTATACTTACTACAATAAAACTGAGATCTTTAAATCATATCTCCTCATGCTGAGTATCTGACATACTGAAAAACATCTTCATTTTCACCTTATTCTTTTGACATTTCATTGATTGAAAACTCATTTTGTTAGCAAATCAGTGGATATCTACAGGAATATTTCTACACACAGGGCAGTAGCTTATCTGGGGTCTACAGCTCAGATGGTAAGTATACTCAAAGAGACACCAGACAGTTTAAATAACCAAATTGCTACCACAAAGGCACTGTGGCAATAAGTGTCCAGGAAACTATTATAATGAACAGCTGTGAATAAGTCATGAGAGAATGCAAATAAGAGAAAGTGAAACGTTCACATCTTTCAACAGTAATATTTCAACATTTAGAGGCAACAGCTCTACTGATTTGGTACATGAAAATAGCATGTTTTACTAAATTCTTGGTGCAGGTACACAAAATTACCCGGCTGAAGATCTGTAAAGACATACCAAAAAAGCTTTGATCTGTCTGATACACTCAATAATTAATTTAAATTCAACAGCAAATGCTAACAGTAATTCTGATATCCAGGGATAAACTTTATTTAAACTTTTTAATTGAAAAATACACACACAAAAATTGAGCTTCTTTTAATTACAAAAGTATGAAGCAGATTGTATAATACAATTTGCAACACCTGATTAAGATTTAAATATTTAAACTATGTTTATTATTGAAAATACCTATTGTCACAATCCAATTTATCAAAGATTTCAGCACCATAGGTATCTTTAAATATTAAGAAAAATTTGCATAACTAAATACTCATCTCTTTCCAAGGGAAATACAGATGAGAAAATAAAATAATAGTTCAGTCTGATCTTCAGGGAACCAATGTTATGCATGGGAGTTATGGAAATCAGTAATCAAAAAAAACCACAAGAAGTTTTCAGATGATTACAATTAAATCAAGGTGACTCTATTAATGTTTTTTGCACTTGGTCAAATGCAAAACATATAACTTATCTTCAAAACCAACTGTTCCACCAGTGTAATTTAAAGATTTAGTACATCAAAAGCACAGCATAGAGATTTCAAATTAGGAAGAGTTTTAAGTGACATCTAGTTTAGACAATCACTTGCAACCATTTTTTCTAATATATTCCAAACTCAGTAACCATATGAAGATTTTAAATGAATGTTTTTACAGCAGAAATAATAGTTCTTTTTCCTAGAAAAGAATCTTACCTTCTTGTTCTACTTTTTGACCTCGATCTTTGAGACCTGTAGGATTTGCCTCTGCCCCTTGATCGGCTACGACTGCGTTTTCTTCTAGAACCATATGAAGAACTACTGCTCGATCTGTGTCTGCGTCTAAAACAAAACCATGCTATTAGTATGCTACTGCTTCTTAAAAAAAAAAAAAAGGCAACAAAAAACCTAACAGTTTACTCAAAAGGGACATTCAAACCTGTGTTTTTTGTATTATAACATGTTGTAGAAGCTTCAAACACCACTATTACACTGTAATAAGTAATTCACATACACATGGGCAATGCCTGTCTTAAAGAGTTTACATTCTAAAATATAAATCTCAAAACAGAAAAAGGGCAGAAAGAGAAACAGCAGTTAACTGATTTACCTAAAATCATGCAATACCTCAAGGGCAAAGCCAGGAACACAACACAGCTCTCAATGTTTTTTAGTCCCATGACCAGGTCATTGGAACTCACTCCGTCTTTGCCAAATCTAAGGTTGAAGAAACATTTAGAACCTACATTCTCAGCAGGATTTACGCAGAAATACACCGTATGGGATAAGGACTACAACTCCGGTGCTAAAAATGAAATTCATAAAATGGTAACTTCTGCATTGCTACTCTATACAATTATTTCCAGTCATACTATGTACATACATAAAATGTAAACATAAAAATGTATTTTAAATTATGTACACCTAAAAATATTTTATGTATATATGTAACCTTACAGATTTGCTGTCTCAACTTCTGTAACAAGCAATCTTTGTTCTGCTCTGATGTAGACAGACCCTCCCCCCACCTTTTTTTTTTTTTTTTTTTTAGTACTATTAGTAATCAAATAATCAGTGTTAATTTATCCCATTTGAGCTTGGAAGTTTTCTCCTGAGTTCAGCCAGGAATCAGAAAAGTATCTTCCCTTTCTCCTCCCACCCAACCTCCCCGTTTCATTTATTCGAAGAATAAATTCTTATACACATAGGAGAAAGGTGAAAGAATAGATAATAAATACATAAATTAAACCAACTAATCCCAAAACTGGGGGAGGGATACCTTCCAAGTCTTAATCTTAAAATTTCCTCTCCGTCTACATCTCCGTAACAGCTAACTAAATAACAATTTCAATCCTTATGAGAACCTCCATGTTTTTGGCCTTTATTATGTTTGATTAATACGTATATATGTTTGATTAAAATATAACACCACATAGAAATACTTCTGTAATTCAGGATGCAGTCAATGTGATATGTGCTTATCTAGCATAAGGGAAAAGGTGCCGTATTACGTACAAGTAGTGCTGCAGTAGTCCAAACCGGAAAAGATACATATAGGTTAACTACTAAAGAACAGGTCTTCATCTGAAAAAGGAATGCAATGTTCTTGCTAAATGAAGATGAAGAACAGTAATCTTAGAGACTGTTGCTTTTGATTCTTAAAGGGTCAGGAATAAATCCAGCAGGACCCCAGCGTGTAATAGTGACTGAACTGCCAGGAGCAAATGCCCTAAACTAAGGGCAAAGCAAAGGTGCCAGCCAGATCCTAAAAGCAGACACTTTCGTCTTTTCTGGATTCAATTTAAGTCAACTGGTCTTCATCCAGACTCTAATCTCCCTCCAAGCTCTGTTTTTATCTGCAAGATAGCCATGCCTGCACTGGACTAAAGAGATTCATAAAGCTGCATGTCATCAGCATATTGCTGGCATCGAAGCCCCTGTCATCTCACTGTGTCCCCTAAGGGCTGCATGTAGATGCTAAGCAGGAACAGAAGAAAGGGGGGATGGAAATAAACAAATAAGAAACCCCCCACAACCAGCCAACTTGCCCCTCATTGACACACTCTTCTGCCAGCTAAAGAAAGGTTTGTCAGGAGCACTTTCTAATACATTTACAGTGCAGCTAGACACAATGAGTATTTTCCAGCTTGACTTATTAATAAATTGACCACCAGTTTGACTCCAGGATCATCGCAAGTCAGACTGAGACACAACCAGTATATCCAAAAAAGTCACGTAGGGGCCTCTGACGAAAGAGATACAGTATTAGGTCAAGAAAAAATTGGTAGATATAGCCACATGATCTGTGTTCTAAACACCTGGCTGACTACTGTATTCTGTACACATAAAAAATAGCAAGAATAATGGTGAAAACTAGCTGTTGCAGCAAATTTATAGACCTACTGTAAAATCACTTCAAGTCTTTCTATTGAGAAAGTCTACCTTGTTGTCTGGAAAGACCTACTTAGTTTATTACAACAGTAAAAAGTAACACAAAATACTCTATAACTAGTTGAATGAAACTTCTTTTCAAACCGGTGTTAATGTATGAACTATTGTATTTCCAAAAAGAGACTCCAAATTCATTATTTAAAAGGAGGAGAAAGGAAGGGTTATTTTAGTTGGTTGGTTTTTGTCTGTTTTGATAAGGAAGTTACCTTTGGATCTGCATATACACTGATTTTGTATTCTTGGGGGAGGGGGGGAGAAGGCGTTTTGGGTTTTTTTGGTGGTGGTGGTGGCTTTGGTTTTTTCTTTAAATGTAAGTGAAAATATTGCCACATCTTCCAAGATTCAGAGCAAACTTTGCTATAAAATTCCAACCTAGAACTGATTACACATTGGATTCAAACACTTCTAGCTTTCTGCCATAATATGAAAGAACTCAATTTGTAAGCAACTGCAACAGACAGTAAATTACTACAAATGCACCTTTTCTCATAAGAATGTGAACGAGACTGGAGATCTCGAGACCGTGACCTTGACCTTGATTTCCTTCCAGACTTTTTACGGCTGTATGTTCTGCTGTCTGAGGAGCTACTTGAAGACGAACGCCTGCGGTGTTTCTTCTTCCTTCTGCTTCTGTTCTCTTCTTCTGTGTCCGAGGAGCGACGTCCCATTTTTAAACTACGTAAAGACAAAAATTCTAAACTGTAAAAAAGTCTCATGTCTACATTACATGTTGTTATATATATAAAAAAAAATTTAGCGTGTGTGCATATATAAATAAACATATCATTATACCATTTTAAAAGTTATCATGTGAATAGAAAATTTGGTTTGCATGCAAAAATAAAAATCAAGATTTTAATATAAGACGTCAACAAATCCATGTTACCAAGTAACTCGAAATTTACACTGTCAGCAAATTTGAATTAATTTATTATGGTATCAAATATTTGTTATGAATTTTCACAAAAGATATTTCACAACCATTTAAACAGATAAATGCACTGATAAAATCATTTATACATCAGAACATATTTTCATTTTAGCTTATTTTTACATTTTTGCCTTAGATACTAATTCTTCAGAAACTTGGGGAGTAACGTGTAAGATACTTCTAATACCTGATATTTCACTTTAAGATGCTACACACTCAGTAGTACAGCATCTTGAATATGTTTAATTTATAGTTATAAATGAAGATCTATAATACTTACACAATCAATAGAATGCAGTCTATTGATTTCAGCTACTCATGTGACTCACTTCATGTGTCTTTAGGTTGTGCAATTAAAATAATGTACATTTTTGTCCTACTTGTCATAATTCAAACATGTGTTGAGAAAAAAAATTCTAGAAAGTTATTTTTAGATTAATTTAAACTAGAGTTAGGTTGATTTTGGTTCTCAGTTTAGATCCACTCAACTTTAAATTGCTTTACTCCAAAATCAGACCTATAAATACTAAATTTCAGAAATGTTTCTTGATTGCCAATATGTTTACTTGGACAATGTTTACAGACTTTGATAACAGATTGGAAAAAAAATGGGGGGTTGGGAAGCCTGCCATTCATTTAATTGTTGCAAAGACTATCATCTTCATTTGGAAATCCTAAGAGATCAGTTTCATTGCTTCACAATTAAAGTAATGCTGTACTTCTTGATTTTCCAGGTTGCAAAACGCACATAATGCTTTAAAACTTTTTCTGTCCCAGCAGTATCAGCCCTATCCACCCAAGACTTCAAGACCCCTCTTCACACACACTTCAGTTAATGGCAGTTAGTAGTAGCCCCTCTTCCCAAGAACAAACAGTTATTTCAAGGCTCCCTAGCTACTTCTGTAGTGGGAAAACAGGAACTCGTAATTCATATCAACAGCTAGATCACAGATCTATTTTGCCACAGTATCACCTGTCTTTAACCAACACTGAAATATTACAGGTCCTCATATTTCTAGCATAAATACCGTTCATTTTCTGCATACAAACTTTTGCCCTTCCTCACACCTTTTATCACCTAGGCAGCAGACCCTAATCTCTATGGTAGAGACTGAAAACAGAACAAAAAAAGAAATTCTCCATTAAGCATGTTTATGCTTAAATTCACAAAAGGTTTACATGCAAATACGAGTCTTGATTACGCTAGGCCTTTCGGTCAAAAAGTGTGACTGGGGAAAAAAAAAAAAAAAAAAAAAGAAAAACCATGTTTAGTTCCACAGACAAAGTCTCTTAAACCTACATTTTCACCCTCAAGTTCCCAAGACAGCTAAAACTGTTTTGCACACAATCATACTTGCTACAGTCCTACAGTGATACATCTAAACACCCAAGCAGGCACGGGATTTGCAAAGTCAGTGTACTGTGACCAACTTTCCCAAGGGAGCCTTCCAGGTAGCTACATTCAAAGTACAATAAATATACAGACAATGCTGTGTTTGACAGAATTTGAAGACTGTCAGAGATGCAGGTTCGCTTGTCAAATTGAGACACACTCGTCCCACGCTGCTGAAGCTTGTCCTAAAGACTGCCAGACGCCTGGAGCCAGGGCGAGGAAGCTACAGCAAGCACAAGTCAAGAGTCAAAGGGACATCCTCCTGGAAAGCACCAAGTTCCGGACCTGGCATCTACTTCAAGGAGAGTTTCCATATTTTACCCAGTTAAACAGTTGTTTAATGCAAAATACAAGAGAGTCCCTTAAGTATCTGGATTTTCTTTGATGTTCACTGGAGTTCATTTACTGCCACAATCAAAACAGTAGCTACGTAAACTCATTCCTATGTAGCCAAATCCCTGTGGACTGCAGACGGCTCTTCAGCACGCAACTCGGAGCTATCGGTTCTGTTCCTGCAGCCAGCAGTGCCTACAAATTAGCCGTCACTAAGCTTTCCTGCAGTAAATTCCTCTATATATTTACTTCACTTCTCAATAGTTTCTGTTTTCAGCACTTTAGAAGTGGTCCTTTAGCTAACAATCTATATAAAGCATTTTTTAAATATTCAACTTAAAACAGCAAATCTCTGTGCACCTAAACCAGCAACATTTTAGGAGGATGAACTGCTATGCAAGAGAACTTCTTTTTTAAATGAAATTATTTCTACCATCTTACTAAAGTTATTCCACACAGATTTTGAAAAAGAGAGAGACAGTACTTTACAGACTATTTAATCTCATTTAAGGAACTATGACTTTAATTTACAATTCTGTAGAGGAATGCCAATTTATATCAACACACCATCTTGTGCGGTCATTTTACTTTTTCCCCTTATAGTAAAAGATTTACAGAGCTCCAAGTTACTAACAGTTATTGAACAGTAACATAAAGCTCTTCAAATATATACCAATAGAACAATCTTCAAATAAACATTAATCTGAATCTCAAAATAAGCAGAACTGCTCAGAACATGAAACTACAATGCACAGATTTTAAGTTAAAAGCTCACAGACCACAGCTCATGACAGCAAGATTAATGAAAGAGACCAGAGAAACAAAAAGTACGAAAGATATTTCTGCCGAGATATTCACCACTTGATATGGATATCATTATGAGCCAGAACATTACACTTCAACATATATATCGTCTGTTGTTTAACTTCCTTTTCTTGCCATCAGCTTTTTTTTCCCCATTTGGACATATAACTGGATTAAGCAGCATATAAAACTAGTGAAACATATTACGTAAATCTCAATTTTGTGTCTTCAGGACCAAAGAACTACATGCCATGGCCCTTCCCTATTACAGGACAAGCCCTCCAGCATACGTGCACATACTTGAGCCTCAGGAGCTCCAGGAGCACGGGTTTACCATGGATGAGCGACAGGACGAAGGCACATGGGTGACTGATGACCTGCACGTTCTAGAGTTTCCACTGGAAAAGAGGTTGCCAGAAGCAGACTGTTGATCCCGGAACAACTTGTGCAGCCAAGTCCTAGCAGCTGTCTCCTATGGGGATATCTTGAACGTACACAGGCAACAGACAAACTTGTCTGACCCGCACTATCCATCACCAGGGTCTTTAGACCACCCCTTCAGTACACGACACACATTTTCCTGCGAAGACGCCTCTTACAAACACAGCACTTGAGAGCAGTCAATTACCAAGACCTGTAACAGGTTAGTATTCCCCCTGACTGCTGCCTACTCCCTCCATCCTCCTGAACAGACCTGGGAAAAGGGACTGCCAGCATTGATTGATCACACCACCTGAAGCCTGATGGATGGAAGAGTTGTTCCGGCAGGTCAGCAGTGGTCCACATACCATTTCCACAAACAGGACTGTATAACAGTACCTACAGATCACAGAGGAGAACTAAGATCACTCCGGGAACCTTAATTAGCAAAATAATGAGGGGGGGAAGAACAGGCAAACAGAAAAAATTAAGACTCATTACATGGCATCATATGCTGAATCTCACGGGTTTTTCCTACCTGGCTGTTTCCATACAAAGTCTGTAGATCCACTACAAAAACTTGTACCATAGAGTTAACGGAGTGACCTAAGAGAATTCACCCGTATAGCTATGGGGAATCTCATCTTTAAGGCTGCTTACCCTTACTTCTCAGACAGAAGTGTTAAGCCATATGTCTCTGCAATAGGAGATATGCTTCTGCCAACCCCTCTTTATGTGTAGGCACAGTGGAAGATACGGCTCTCAATGCCTGGTGAGACACTAGAGGTTTTTATCCTGACTATGGAGCAACACTAGGAGGAAGAGAAGAGGCGGAGGGAAAGGCATATTAACAAGCACCAACAGCAAATGAACGGTTTCAGATGAACTTAGAACCTGGGTTACATCCCAGGCGTTTGTGGGGAGAGAGTCTCCTGACCAGCACATCAGTGCAGCTCATTCTTTTTCATCACCCAGCCCCAATGTTCCGCCTGCGTGGTTCTCATCCACTCTTAGCATATTCCCTCACCCACTTCTGAATTTCGATCAAACTACTCTGGTCAAACAGCAAAGGAACACTGAGAATTCAGAAGATGCTGTCTCAAGATATGAGGACCCACAGCAGCTACATGGAAACTCATGCTGAAGCCTGAGCTGGAACATATCATCAAATTAATCAGCTACTTAAGTAAAGACTCTAGTAAACATCTGTGAACTTCAACATTTTGAAGGCTTGCAATTAGTCTGAAATTGAACAGCTTTCAATAGAATGACTAACAGCTGGACCTGATAAATTTTAAATCCCCACTCTGGAGCACAGGCATGTTGAAGTATCTAAAAGACAGGTCTCCAGGCCTTTGTTTTTTTAATATTTAATTTTTGTTTAAGTCTTGTTTCTGAAAACTGATGCTGCTACACTTTGGTTGAAATGCAAACAAAGTGCATATTCTCATACACGCGTTTTGCCAAGAGAAACACCAACATCAAAAATTTCAAACCAACTATTTACATTTGGCAAAGTTACAAACAGTGCTATCAAGCTCACCTGCAAACAGCTAAGTAACCTCCCACCCTGCATATAACAACATAAAGAAAACATAGATGACATAGGAAACAAGCAGACTTCTCTAGAAAACCTGTTCAAAGAGAGTAAAGTACACTTTCAAATGTAGTAAGAAGTATACATTCATTGATCTGACCTTGTTCAATCTTGTTTCATAGTTTTTTAGAATTATTTCAAGTGTGCAATATATATTTTCAAGCATGAGTTTCAAATTATTATTGCATTTACTGTTGCAGATTGTAAGAAAATAATATATTTTGGTTGTTTTTAATCAGAGGCTGTTATCCAGTAAACATTACTGCAGCAGACTACACCTTGAGCACAACATCCGATTAAACAACACAATTTTTAGCTACCATAATCAGCCAGAAGTAATGAAGACAAAATAACCTCCACATTTGTTCAGCATCAAATCCAAACAATTTATGTTTGTTAGTCACTAAGAGACTTTGACTTGCAATAATCACTAACCACCTGCGCAGTTTATGTAGCATCTCTACAAAAAAGATCCTTTAAGAAATTCTAACCCATTATACAGGCATTGATGGAAAACATACTGCAACCATCTCAGTATCCCCTTCTTTCCTACTGAACTGTGCAAGTCCGTCTATAGGAGAGAATCAACAAGTCGGGATGAGATGCTACTTGATGAGCTTCAGCCAGGAAACAAGGCTACCTGAAGTAAAATTTATTCTAAGTCCTCAACAAACATGCTGACTAGCTAATAAGTAGGAGTCACAGTGTTACTAATGGCAACGCTGTTCCCCAAAACAGGGAAACCACAAACAGGCAGAGGGTAGAAGTCCCTCTCAGGCAGTTTCTC